CCCCCCCCCCTGACCCGGGACACCCTTCAGAGCAACCCAGCCAGCCCCCACGCATGCACCAGGCCTCTATCCTATATAATAAAAGGTAACATGCAAATTAACCCTAACAGCAGAACCACTGGGAATGACTGGTCACTATGATACACACTGACCACCAAGGGGCAGATGCTCAATGCAGGAGCTGCCCCCTGGTGGTTAGTGCGCTCCCACAGGGGGAGCTGTACTCAGCCACAAGCCAGGCTGACGGCTGCCATTACAGCAGTGGTGGGGGGAGCCTTTCCCACCTCCTTAGCAGGGCTAAGGATGTCCGACTGCAGCTTAGGCCTGCTCCCCACTGGCAAGTGGACATCCCCCTGGGGGCCGCCTTTGCCCTGCCCCGTGATCGGAGAACTGGGTATCTTTGCCCGCCCCCGGCCAGTGATTGCGGGAAGCAGGGGCAGAACCGGAAATGGGAGCTGGTGGTCCCCTGCCCAGGCCTAATGCCTCAGTCAGATGGTGTTGAGCAAACAGTCTTTGTAAGTATTACCAGCTAGTAGTAAGGCATCTACATATTGTAGAAGAATTCTCGATTTAAATTGAACATTCCTTCAATCTTTTGCTAATATTTCCCCAGGTTTGGGCTGGGAATTCTTAAATCCCTGTAGCAGCACAGTCCAACAGTGTTGGAGCATGGCTTTAGTTTCTGGGTACTGCTATTCAAAGGCAAATAATAGTTGAACCTGTTCATCTATTAGGATGCAGAAAAAAAGCATCCTTCGAGTCTAGGACTGAATCATTTGCTGTCCCTGGCCCTGTGGTCGTCTAAGATAAGGTTGGGCACCGTAGGATAAATGTCCTGAACAACGTCATTTATGGTCCTAAGATCTTGTGCGCATCGATATTCATCAGAGTGAGGCTTTTTCACTGGCAAAATGGGGTGTTACAGGGGGTCTGGCATGGCTGAATTAATCCTGATTTTAACAACTTCTGCAGTACTGGTTGAATTCCCTCTAAAGCTTCCTTTTTCAGGGGGTATTGCTTCTTCCATGGGATCCGTGCCCTTTCTTTAGGGTTAATTTTTATGGTTGGATGTTAAGTGCTCTACCTGGGGTTCCATCAGCCCAGACAGCTCCATCAACCGGCTTGTAGATCTCGGGTGGGAAGAGTTCACCTCTGGCTCCTCCTGGGCAGGTCAGGAGCACCTGGAGCTGGAGGGCAGGTGAACGGCTATTTTTTAATTGGTCACTCAAGCAACCATCACCGCAGCTGGGCTTCTCTTGGTTAGTTTTGTACTTAGTGCTGAGTAAGTAGCTCCTGTAGCTACAGTGATTCAGTTAGCTTGTTCCCCACAGTTAATTGTACCTGGGGCTCCTGCAGGGAAATAGTAATGGTCGGGAGGTGTCTAGGAGAGCCTCTGGACCTCCTCATTCATCATCAGATTCCTCATTCCTTTCTCACATTTCCTGGCAAGGATTTCTGTCCTTTTTCTTTTTGAGTTCTGGGCAGTCCTTTCTTCAGTGGCCTTCCACTTTGCAGGAGGCGCATTGATTGATGCTAGTGGGTCTTTCCCTTTCCCTTCTGATTTCCCACACTGTTTCTAAGAACACATTGCCCTTGTGTCCAGGCATGGTAAACTTTAAAGGCTATGTCCACCAGCTGGGAGGGATTCATTCCCAATGCCCCATCTAAATGTTGGTGCTTCCTTCTGATATCTGGGCACATTGCCCAAAAATAGTCATGCTTCCCTCCGGACATTTTCTGGTACCTGTGGGTCAGCATCACTGTGCTTTTGGTAGGCCTAACAGATCCTTTCTTCAGCCCTTCCTTCATGTTCCAGGGATGCTAGGTGCCCCCTGTGTGCTTCCCAGATGGGCTCTGTCAAGGGAGTCATCCCAGCTGGGTTGGGGGCCCCATTAGGATTCTCTTAATGCAGACGATGAACTTTTTCATTAGCTTTATTTGTAACTAGCTGCCTTTCACCTGTCGTAAGCAGGATGTTAAGGAGAGCCTGTCCATCTGCCCAGTTTGGATGGTGAGTGACAAAAAATGGAGGTATTAAGATCTGCCATTTTCTGAGGATTCCCCCTTTATGAGGGGCTGAAATTTTTCCAATTCAGTAAATCTGAAGTTGAAAATGGAGTGTGGGCCCAATAGTGACCAGCAGGCTGGCCTTCCTGGTTTATTCCATCTATAGGGTATTGCCTCAAAGGGAATTGTGATTCTCTGGATAGGGATGCTCCCTATCATCATATAGGGATGGGGATGTCACCCCTCGGATATGCACCTATCTCAGGGGCATCCAGCAGCTGTGGTAATGGTGGCGAAATTCTCCTCTTGCTAATCCTGATCTCCTGGATTCAGGGTCTTAAAGAGACTTATCTCCTCATTTCTCGTTTTTCCCTGTGTCTTACTATTTTGAAGCCAATTTCCTTCTCTGGGTCATTAGGTCCTCCCCCAACCCCACCCCCTTTTTTTATTTTTTTTATTTTATTTTTTTGCCAAATTCTTGTTGTGTAAAGACAAACATCTGGAGGTAAGGAATTTCATCTCATTTCTCTGACCTTTGGCAAAACAATTCCAACTGTATGATGGTGTAGTAATTTAGGTAACTATTTAGGGGCCATTTTTTCCCCATAGTTTAAAGCAGGGGTTCTCAAACTTTTTAAACAGGGGGCCAGTTCACTGTCCCTCAGACCATTGGAGAGCCAGACTATAGTTTAAAAAAAAACTATGAACAAATTCCTATGCACACTGCACATATCTTATTTTGAAGTAAAAAAAACAAAACGGGAACAAATACAATATTTATATTTGCATGTGGCCCACGGGCCATAGTTTGAGGACCCCTGGTTTAAAGTATATATAGGAATTACAATAGAAGTAGAAAGTATTTCTATTACAATGGAAAACCAACTCCTCCTTAGTCATTGGATCATAGCTGTACATGGATTAATCTTTAAAATTGGACCCAATGGCCTTCATTCAGGAGTTGAAACAGAACAACCCCTGATGGCACAAAAGTACAAAGCCAAAACTGTAACCATAGCAAGACCCCAGACGAAATGGGAACATATAAACAAAGCTTGGGCCCATAATTCCATTAATACAAACAAATAAAAACAAGTCCTAAGGTCTTATACTCTGCCAGCTGATAGCACAAGCAGCCCTAATGGGACCCAGATAGCATAAAGCCCAAGTGGCAGGAAGAAAAGGACCCCAGTGTGCATGCAGTTTGACTTACCCAGTCTTGTAATTCATCTCCCCAAAACCAGTTTCCTTTCACCAGCCTGCATTTTAGGTAACATTATTTGAGAGGAAGTGCAAAGAAATTCTCCAAGAAAACCTCTTGGTAGCTGCTGGAAAATCCCCACAGACCTGCTCCTGGGTTGGGGTCACCCTGCTGTACCACAGGCAGCTAGGGCCTCAGCTCCGGCCCTCCAGGACTTGTGAAGGTCCATGGTGTCCCACCAGAGTTGCCAAAAAAAATAACCAAACAAAGCAGAGATTCTGCTGCCTACTGCAATGAAAGCCAAACTCAGGAGACAGGTGCTTGTGCAAAAGAAAAGATGTTTTATTCAGAAGCCACACTGCCTTAGAGAACAGCGAACTCCCATCTCAGAGACCATCTCTCTTCCTGCTCAAGCCTGTGGTTCTTCTAGGGATAGGAAAGGAAGGGGAGGGATTATTATTATTATTGTTTTTCTATTCAGTTGTCTTGCTATCTTTTGGTGCTATATCCATTTATCTTCCCAACCTTTTGGCTGCTTGGATCCTGTCTATTCGTATTTCCAGCTTTTGGTGGCTCAGGCCCTGTCCATTCATATTCCTAGCGTGTGGTGCCCTCAGGCCCTGCCCATTCCTATTTCTAGCTTTTGGCGCCTTCAGGCCTTCTCCACTCATATTTCTATCTTTTGGTGTGCTCAGTGTAAGAATCTCCCCCTGCACCATTTTGGGCAGTCGGGGAGACTCCCTGGTGCTCCCTTACTGTCTACAATAACAACATCAGTATTCTCACACAGCCTGAAACCCATTTATGAATCTTGCAATAGGACCATTTCTAAATGTGTCTTGAACTTAACAGTTCTTATCTTGAACTGACAACAAATTTGTGGAAAGGACAGGACCCTGGGTTTCAAGACATGTTCAAATTCTCACCTCATAAGTTGTAATGAAAAGAGTTCATAAATTAGTGTTGTTCCGAATTTCACTTGTGATTATTTTTAGTGGGCCTTTTAAAGCCACGAGAAAAGTCATTGACCACTGGAGGTAGCCAATATAGTACAAGTGACTGGGTCTGCAACTCTGTCTGCAACTGATTTGCTGCTTTGTTTCTCATAGCACAGGTGCAGCAGTGATCAATGGCTCTCAGCATCCATCGTCATCGCCGTCTGTCAACGACGTATCTTCAATGTCCACAGATCCAACTTTGGCCTCGGATACCGACAGCAGCCTAGAAGCATCAGCTGGACCTCTGGGCTGCTGTAGATGACTACTTGGGCCTGGGGGGTGGGAGGGGAGGGATGGGGACTCGTTTAGTCATTGATAGAACTACTTTGAGAACTAAGTCAGTGGTCTTATTTTGAGTAATTTTCCAAAAATGTAGAATTCATTTTGTAGTAAAGTAGTTTATTTTTTAAAATTTCAAGTGATGTAATTTAAAACTTAAGTTGTTTTAAAACAGCAACAAAACTGTATTGTATTTTTGCTGTAATTAACTGTATAATGTAAACCTAATTATTTTATCATGGTTTAAATTTTTGCATATTTGCTTTATCTTATGCTGCTGATTTTTTTACTGAATTTGTAAGATTTTGTTTATCAAAGCAACTATTATGTGGTGATTGGCCTATATCATGAATTATTTAAGATTTTTATAGTTTTTTTTAATTAGAAATTATTTCAAATGTTTTGTTCATGATGCTATCCTTCAGGGTTATGTGCTTATCAATGAAATAACCACAGAGGAGTGAGGGAAAGTAACCTGTAGCCAGTTATATTCAGGAATAACTACTGTAAATGATGAACGTGTTAAAAAAAAAAAAAAACCTCCAATATTGCTACTTGCCAATCCTAATTTAGTTACAACTATTGGTAGTAATCCTACATGAATTTTGGCAAAAGCCCCATCATCTAAATGGCAGAAGAACTCCGAGCATGTTTTTGAAAGATGCTGGGCATCTACCACCACCCTTCTATTCCCCCTACCCCTTACCCAACAGAAGTAAAGTGAAAAGAATACGGTGTTTCCTGCAAGTCTGTGGCATGCTCAAACCTCACCGTCACATAAAGTCAAAAGGATACTTCATGAGTAATACATTTCAGTGCAGATAAGCAGATGGTTCACTTGTAGCTGTGAGCCTGCTCTTGCACACACTGAGCTGAGCTCCTCAGGCTGCAGGTCCAGTGGTGGATGGTCTGGAGCTGGCCCTTCCTCTCTCGCAGCGGGGCCTTGGGCCTCTCGGTCTCCTGCTGGAGTGGCAGTCAGCTGAGCACCAGCCTGGTGATTCTGGCCACGTGCTTCTACCTGTAGCAAATCTGTCTCCACTGGCTGTCGGGAGGTTCCAGAGCCTCTTTAGGTTTCTGTAGGTGAGGTATCCAATGAGCAATATACCGTTCATCTGAAAATAGTAGCACACAGCCATATACAAGGTGTCATTTCCCAAGGACCGTTTCTCCACACTGAGCAGAGCAGGCATAAATGGTGATTATTTAGTCAGAGACTTTCATTGTTTATATCTGATTTTCAGTAAAACTGCAATGTGGATGTTGAGTAGTGTAAGAATGGTGCTGCTCCTGACAAGTGATGTAACTGTTTACATTTTATATCTGCAGAATTATTTCTTTACAACGAAATTTTTCTTAAGTAAAATGTCATTGAAGTCTCATCTCTGAATGCATTGTCTGTGATGCCCCAGGACCTTTTGTCATGTTTGGAACAAGAGGGATTTCATGTCATGAACTAGGAAGTGCACACTTAGATACGTGGCAAGGTTCTAGCAGAAAGCTCATTGGAGTTAGTGACCAACAGGAGCAAGCACTGGTGCAGCGCAACACAGTGTCTCCAAGTTCGCCTGGCATGTGATTTGTATATTTAGTGCAAAATTCCTTTGAGTGATCATTGTTACTGTGCAATATTTAGGACTCAAATACATTAACCTTTTTATATAATTTGAAATAGCAAGTTTGTTTTTGATGGTTTAAAGTCATGATTTCCAGTCTCTTTAGAAGCTGTCAACCTTTGTATCAGTCTCTTTAATACTCATACAACATGGTGCATTAATTTCATTTAGCAAATTAGAGTTTTGAGACTATAACACCCTGATTTATAGAAACAGGATTGGATGTGTGGAGACGTTTAAGCATGAGTGTGTCCTTTGTGTATACGAGTTTGACAGTTAACTAGCTCTGTTTTCTAGTATAAACCATTTCACTATTGCACTTTAACAACTGACATGCTTTCAGAAGTTCCCCATAGTTTAGGTTTGATTGCTAACAAGCCATCTCTGTTGATACAGATGTTGGTTAAGCAAGAAAACCAGGTGGTGTTACTGTATCATTTGTTGTAAATGCCAGCTCCCACTTGCCAACCAGCATGTTTCAGTTGATCCAGAGAAAATGAACTCATTAGTTAATGGAGACAAAAATGCTTAAATTCTTTCTTGAAAACAAAGTCTGTTAAATGTTGTGTGCCTAGGGTTTTAAAATGCAGTATCTAAATAACAGCGTTCCCTCTTAAATATGTTAAGGTAAAGATATACATGTTCGTTTTATTTTTAAAACTTTTTGAATCTTTAAAATATCTTAAACATTTGTGTTTGTTTGTTTTTTTAACAGAAATTACAAATAAGATTTCTTTCTGGCAGTACTTCATGTAAAGCCACCTTACCTTAAACTTTGGTTTTTCCATTTTATACACTTGATGTACTATCTTCTTACTGTCAGAGTTATTTTGACCAAGATCTATTACTCAACTTTATAGGTTAGGAAAGAGACACTAATTATAATTCTCTCTACATATTTCTTCCTGCTTACTATTCTGTTACCCTCTAATGTGTATTGATCGTTTGTAAAATAATGTTTGGGATTGCTTACTTACACTACACATACATCGAGCATCTCAGTCCGTTCCTACTGTGAGCTGAACAGTTCTCGCTTTGCCACGCACCCTCGGTGGCTGTGGCTCCTGACAGGCACTCTCCCAGCGGGGTAGAGGCACACGCATCACACCAGACTTCCCCAGAGAAATGCAGCTGCCACCCAGCCCCTGGCTGCCCAGAGAAGCGGGTGTGTGTAAAGCAGCCAGCTTCCCCCATGCTCACCCTGCTGTGCTGCCCGAAAAGGTGACGGTGTCAGAGTGAAGTGGGTGGCAGGCCAGGGAGTTGCTCCGGGTCGCAGGCAGCATGGGTCACACCAACCACTCGGTATGGCCCAGGCAAAGCCTGCACATACTGAGGTGAAAGCATAGTCTGTGCTCAGAAATACGGTTGTCGCTTGTGAGTGTCCATTGGTCGCATTAGCTGTAGAATGACCGCATGAAGCCCCAGGTCCCAGTAAACTCACGGATAGAAGACAAACCACCATCTTGTCATTAGCAGCCTCTTCAATGTCAACTCTGTCCTTTACTTGTTACTATAGAGTGTTTCTACTCATCTCTCTTAGGTTTTTTTCTGAATCAGGGAAAACTGATTTTCCTAATAGCAAGAAAGATGAAGGGGTAAAGGGCATTGAAGCAGAAATGTATAGTTTGGGGTATGATTAGAAAACTCATAAGGAAAACAAGTCCTAATTAATTTCAAACTAACTGCTCTTAGTTAAGTGCTCTTAGGAGAGTCTAGTAAGAGTAACACTTTTTGGTCATTTCTGGTTTAGATTCTCTTCATTACTGAATTTTAAGAACTATTACCTGTGGATTAGTTTTGCACAATGTTTTATTCTCACAATAACGTACAAATTAGGTTTGTATTGAACTACCTCACACTAATTTTCTATGCTTTCCCAAGCCGTAGCCCTTGCTGTTAGCTCTTTACTGGGTGTGAGTATAAGTGTGTGTGAAACACTTGATAGTCAGTGTTGACACAATACCAGTAAGTATGTGAAATACATACCGGCATCAGTAAGAGAGACTCCATGTCAGACCTCCTGCTGTGTAGCTTCGGAATTGTTAGGTGTGCTTGTTGGGCGTTATTTCTGTCTGTTTTGCAAGTAGAAACCTGCTCCTGACATCAGTCCATCCTTTACATTTTACAAAAGGACTAAGTCTAAACTTTATGAAGAAATAAATTACTTTTGTAGGCCCGATATTTGGTATATTTTTGAGAAGCTCTTAAACTTTTAGCCGAATGATGAATTTAAATTGAACTAGCTGTCTACCTGAACTGTGACATCTATTTTCTCATTACAGTTTATCCTGTTCAGCAGGCGTTACCGCCTGAAACCCAGATATGGTATCTGCCATTTGCGTTTTCCCTGGACAACGCCACTCCTCGTTCCGCCCCCTGTTCCATTCCCTCCTCTAGACAAACAAAATGGGGCACTTTGTAGGGAATGCTGAGATCATTGTGGTTTTTATCATTCATGCCCTAGTCATGAAACATGCACCACTGGATGTAGACAATGTTATCTAGTATGTTCATTGGTTACAATATTTTAAATAAAAAAGAAAAAGTGGTATGAACACTATGAAATTAAGTGTTTTCATTGAAAATTATCTGAATTTTTGCTGAAAAGTTTTCCCAGGCAATTTTAAGATGCCCTATAGGTGGGGTGGAAGGGTGACCCCGTGGCAGGTTTCCTAGGTTGGGTTCTGTGTAGACTGAGGAGCCTAAACCATCTTCCGGTTTCCTGGTTTATCTGCGCTTGCTTTTCTGGTGCTTGAAATCACTGCGGAAACCTTTGCTTAAGGGACTTTGCTTCAACATCCTTGCTCTAGTTCTTGGGAATCATGTGAGAGAACAGCCATCATGACCACTTAATGGGAATAAATACTTAAAAAGCATCTCTTTCCAAACCTGGGCTTCAGGTTGGCCCGTCCATTCCCACTGCCGCCAGCGGGCAGGCTGCCTGGCGGGTCACCGCTGCCTGTGCCCAGGCTCTGGGAGTTGACACTCCATCTCCCTCAACTCCTGCTCAGATGGTCCTGCATCCGCGCTGCCCCGCCCTCTGCACTCGCACCTCTGCGCTGAGCAAAGGCAGACGGGCCCTGCGGTGAGCTCACTGTCCAGGGGCCAAGCGCTCGGCAGCGGCGGTCATTGCCAGATCACCGTCCGGCATGGCCGAGCGCTGGCTGCAGCGGTCACTGCCAGGCCTCGGGAGGCGCGGCACCGAGTGAGGAGGAACCGGTCTCGCTCCGGGGCTGCATTAGCTAGTGTTCCGGGAAGGCCCGTTGGCTTTATGGGAATGAAGTTACATTGCACTGGTTTGTGCTTAAAAAACTTTTTTAGCTTTTACAAATAATATACCAGTGTGTCTCTGGACTTTATTTTAAACTTAAAAGTTACTTCAAATGCACTTTGTAAATGTTGGGTTTCTGTCTAACATTTCATCTCATCCCATCTCATCTCATCAGTGAGCGCGCTCAGGCCCACGCCCTGCGCAGAGAGGAGCGGGACTAACGGAAGCGGCTGCGGTGTTTTGTGGAGCCTCCGGCTACGGAAGGTTGGAGAGGAGGCGTTTCCCAGGTTAAGGAACAGGCAAGGGTTTTCAAAGTGGATGGACAAGGAATGAGCCATGCCCGGCATGGGCACGGAGTGTGCAGCGAGAACAGAATGGAAATAAAACTAAAACCTGGGGCCGGAAATGAAACGTTTTGGAGGAATTGTTTTCATTTAAAGATAGAGGAACTTGTAGTCCTGAGAATGAGTGCTCTGCGCAGACCTCTGGTTGGGAGGGTGCCTGGCAGGGGGCGCCAGTGGGCTGGAGGTGGTAACGGGGCCTCAGGGCCCAGCGGACAGCAGTCCTTGCCTGAGATGGGAAGGGGCTCAGTGCCCTGGCTAAGCTCACGTACCAGTTAGCAGGCGAGCGGGTGCTGGCCCTGGGAGGGCTTGTGCGGGAAGAAGGCTTCCCATGTCCGCTCGGGTCACGGACCAGCGTGAAGTCTGTGCGGGCACCTGCGCGTCACCTACTCGGAGCCTCCTCCTGCCTTTCGGCTCCCCTTCAGCTCCCCCTCCTGAGGTCCCGCCGCTGCGGACGCCCTGCAGTGTCAGTTCTCTGACAGAGGAAAGAAGGGGACACATGTGCGGTGTCGCACGTGTGAGATTAGCGCTGCCTGCACCGCGGGCGAAGCTCGGATGGCTAAGGACTGAGTGGCCGGGAGGCAGGGGTGAAAAGCTTTGAAACCTGGGCAGGACATGCAGTATAAAGAATCACAATGTCTTGAGAAAAGTGGGGGTGGCAGAGGGGTCAGAGCAGATTGAAAGGAGAATGAGAAGCCTGGCCAGACAGGTCCTAGACTAGAGGGCAGGGTCTGCTGATTCCTGCAGACCCAGGTCAGCGGAGCTCAGGGGAGTTTGGGTCCTCGGGGGCAAGCCCAACTCGCACACCCAGGCTGCTTCCTGTTGGGTGAGGTGGGCGATAGTCCCTCCCAGGTGTACTGCAATGGCTGACTTCATGTGTTTTATAAAACTGACTTCATGACGTTTATTTTATTTTTAATTTATCTTTATTGTTGAAAGTATTACACATGTCCCGTTCCCCCTCCCTCCCATTGACCCACTCCACCCAAGTTCTTTGGTTGATCCCTTCCTGCTCACCCCACCCCACTTCCCTCTGAGATTCCACAGTGTGTTCTATGCTTTAATGTCTCTGGTTCTATTTTGTTCATCAGTTTATTTTGTTCATTGGATTTCACATGTGAGTGAGATCATGTGATACTTGTCTTTCTCTGACTTACCTCGCTTAGCATAATACTCTCCAGATCCCTCCATGCTGTCTCAAAGGGTAAGAGGTCCTTCTTTTTTACTGCTGCATAGTATCCCATAGTGTAAATGTACCACAGCTTTTTATCCACTCATCTACTGATGGGCACCTGGGCTGTTCCAGGTCTTAGCTATTGTAAATTGTGCTGCTATGAACATAAGGGTGCATACATTCTTTCTGATTGGCGTGTTAGGCTTCTTAGGATATATTTCTAGGTCAAATGGGAGTTCCATTTTTAATATTTTGAGACAGGTGTGAGGTAATATCTCCCTATCATTTAAATTTGCATCTCTCTGATAATTAGTGCTGTTGAGCATTTTTTCATATGTCTCTTGGCCATCTGTATTTTTTAATAGGCACTCCTCTTTGGAGAAGTGTCTATTCAGGTCCTCTGCCCATTTTTTAAATTGGATTGTTTCTCTTCCTTTTGTTGAGCTGTACAAGTACTTTATATATTTTGGAAATTAACCCCTTATCAGATGTATAATTGGAAATATGTCCTCCCATACAATGGGTTCTTTTTCATTTTGATCCTGGTTACTTTTGCTGTGCAGAAGCTTTTTAGTTTGATGTAGTCCCATTATTATCTCTTGCTTTAGGAGATAGTTCTGTTCCATTGGTCTATATGCTTAATCTAGTGTCAGTATCAGGTCATTTTGATTACAGGGGCTTTGTAGTATAACTTGATATCTGGTATTGTGGTCCCTCCAACTTTGTTCTTCTTTCTCAAGATTGCTGAGGCTATGCAGGGTCTTTTTTTATCCCATATGAATATTTGAAGAGTTTGTTCTAGGTCTATGAAATATGCCATTGGTGTTTTAATAGGGATTGTATTGAATCTATAGATTGCCTCGGGTAGTGTGGACATTTTAATGATGTTAATTCTACCAATCCATGAACACAGCATAAAAGGTATTCTTCCACTTGTTTATATCTTCCTCTATTTCTTTTTTCAGCATCCTATAATTTTCTGAGTAAAGGTCTTTTACCTCCTTAGTTAAGTTTTTCCTAAGTGGGTTTTTTGTTGCAATGTAAATGGGATTGTTTTTTTTATTTATTTTTTTATAAGGAGTAATGGGATTCATTTGCAAGATCCTAGTTTTGCCAGCAGGTGGCACATGCGGCTTATGCGCTGGTTTTGACAAAGGACTTGGTGGGCAGCTGAGCCCATTGCCAATGTTAGCGGCTAAGGGCAGATGGCCTCCCTTCCCACCCATGAACCCTCTTTGGTATTTTCCATTCTTTCGAGAGCCTAGTGGCATTTTCTCTCCAGGTCAAAGCTGGCAGAATTCCAGGACAGTGGAACTCAGGAACACATGGGTGTCCACACTTACTCCTCTGAAAGGGGCGTGAGGGCCAGTTCCTACCTTCCTGTGCGGCTGTGAGGAATCAGTCACCTCGTATTTTGTTTCTCCTTGAAATAGAGAGGAGGGCTTCCACCTTCTGGGGAACCTGGCAGTTGCTGTTGTGATGGCAGCGGCCTGAGCAGAGCTCCCCGCAGAGCTCTGGCCCGATGCGGTGCCAGCGCTACCTGGGCAGCGAGGCCCTGTGTTCACCACATGGTGCTGTTTAGACCTGATTCAAGGTGGGTGGGCTCTGGGCCTCAGACTTCTCCAGAGATCGTGGTCGGAAACTGGGGCACTTTGGTGACCCCACTCGTCACCACCCCCTGCCCCCGAAAAACCCACTGCAGTGACTGCTCCAGGGAATGAGAGGTGCTGTGTAAGGACACTGGGCAGCAGAAGGGACACTGGGCTGGCTTTGCCAGCACCCAGCGCCAGTGCTGTCCTCCTGGAGGGGTGTCTTTGGCGCCCCTGTGGCCCATGCCGCGGAGCTCTGGCCAGGCTCAGGCTGCATGTGGCACCAAGGAAAGGCTTTCCTTAAAGATTTGCCCTAATTGGAGCTTTTTAAAAAAATCCTCAATAGAAGATATTTTTTCCATTGCTTTTTTTTAGAGAGTAGAAGGGAGGGAAGAGGGGAGAGAGAGAGAGAGAGACATTAATGTGAGAGGGACATCAATGGGTTGCCTCCCGTACGTGTCCTGACCAGGGCCAGGCATCAAACCTTTAACCCACATACGTGCCATTGACCGGGAATCGAACTCTTGATCTTTCAGTGCCTGGACCAGTGCTCTAACCACTGAGACACCAGTCAGGGCCCTAACTGGAGCTTTGAATGGAGGAGGAACTGGAGGAGGGTGAATGGGCACTGGGGAGGATTAGCATCAACCTGACAGCAGTCTGCATGGGCGATGGGCACAGCTTGAGGCCTGGGCCGTGGAGCAGAGCTGGCCGGGCAGACGAAAGCAGGCTCCTGGGTCTGCAGGGCTGGGGGTGGGGCCCAGGACCGCTGTGCAGGCTCCAGCCCTGGGAGCGGGAGGCGGGAGGAAGTGGTCCTGCCCGAGCGCAGGGAGGATGGAGCTGAGCACATGGACTTGTGTAGCTCCAGCTTCACAGCTGTGGCAGCTCTGGGTGCCCATCAGGGAGCTTCCTACCCACTGGCATTCCACCTACAGACACCGTGAGGACCTCAATCCTGGTAAAGCGTAGAGATCACTCCATAACCCCCACTTCACTTGACCTTAAAGAAGGAGCCAGGCATCCCACTTGCAGAGCGAATTTAATAAAGAGGGCAGTGTCCCTGGGGCGCTACTTGGATCCCAGGCGCCATCTGTTTTGGTGGCCACGGGCCTGTCGTCTCTGGCACCTGCCAGTCACAGCAGCAGCCGCCAGATGGCATGAGGGGCTCGGGCTTCCCTGGCCGCGAAGCGACACTCCCTCTCCGCTGGCTACAGAGCACCAGGCACTGCCGAGGTCCATGAGGCAGGGGCTCGGGGCTCCTCACAGCCCCCACTCCCTGCGGAGGGAGGCGAGCAGTGAGCTCCCTCACTGTGGGGCACCTCTGGCCCCCACAGTCAGGCTGCCCAGGGTGGAGAAAAACTCCTCCATTTCCTCCTGCAGCAGCTGGTTCCTCCTCTCGGCGTCCGCCCGCGCCCGCTCCGAGTTCCGCAGCCTGATCTGCAGCATCGTGTACTTCTTCTTCTCCTGGTCCAGCTCCTCCTCCAGCCGCAACATTCGCTTCCTCAGGTCGGCGGTACCGTCTTCAAGTCTTAAAAATAAAGAAGAAACATACTGTTTTAGACGCTGCCCTGCAGGGTTTGCCGAGAGAGCAACAGTCACGGCCCCACCCGCTGCCCGGTGGGGAAGGGCCGCGGGGCACACGGGCAGCTGGGCTGGCTCACGAGGTCCACCCTTGCACTGCCCTCAGCCATGATCCAGAAACACCGTGGGACCATTTGGCCCTGGGTCCCCGAGACCAGGGGTCCCCCTGAATCCTCACTACATGTTAAGACCACTTACCCTCCGGGCCAGCCAGCTGTCCTCAGTGTGGAGAGCAAGACCTCAGTCCCCTCCACTCCCTCCTGCTGCCCCACCCATGCCCCAGGCTGACACCACACCTCGATCCTCCCAGCAGGCTGCATACTGCCCGTCTATGCCACCAGAGAGCCACCTGCACTCCTACAGCTGGTACGCACCGTCTCCTCCACCACACGCCAGCAGCTCCTGCAAGGCCTGAGGCATGCTGAGCCAGACTCGGGGGACTGGCCTGGCTACACCCAAGGCTCATGACTATGGGCAGATACACATGCCCTGAGCCCTGGTGTCCTCTCTGAAAAACGCAGGGACACCTCCCAGCACTGCAGCTTCCATGCCTCCAGCTCAGCCAGCGAACTCGGCGCATAGGGAAGGGAGGAAACCTCCCCTGCCCAGCCCTCCGTCCGGAGCACAGGGCATGCTGTCGGAAAGAAGGCCCCTGGGAGGTGGCACAGCCCACGACCCCCACTTCTCCTCCAGGCCCAGGCCCCTCACCGCCAATGCCTCCCACCCACCGGGGCCCTCAAGTTTGGCCTGCCCCCCGCCCCCATGACACTAGACCAGCAACCTGTCCAGTCTTGAGGATCTCAGCCTCTCTATCCCTCGACTCCACGCCAACTAAATAAGTATCCCCGACTTCAAGGCCTGCAGCTGAGCCCGGCCTGCTCCCGCCGCTCCTGTTCCCGCTCCTCCTCCGTGAGCACCTCCTCCGGCTGCTTGGCCAAAAAACTGTCCTCAAATCAGTTCTTTTTTCACCCCACAGTGGACCGATTAGCAAAACCTCCCCAATATGGTCAGCATCTGGCTCTTCTCCCCACCTCACTGCTTGCCCCTTAGGCCATGGCACCCATCCTGGCCTGGACGCCATGGCCTCCTAACTGGTGGAGTGTCCTCAGGAGGGCAGCCAGGGGCACCCCTCCGAGTGGCCAAAGTGCTCCAGGCCCTCCGGTCACTCAGAGTCGAATCGTGTAAAATCCAGAGCATGCTCTGACCACATGGTCCTGCCCTCTGCCCCCCAGCGCCCCCTCACACTCCAACAAGCCGCCCTCCCTCCCCCCCTAACAGTCCGCGAGCTTTGAAATCTATCTTGTACGGTCTCTGTGCGCCCTCAGCTGCGTGACCAGAATGAGGACAGAGAGTGAGATCAGGGTTCGTCACAGCTGTGCCCAGCGCTCACCACCTAGCACTGTGGCACCTCGGACACCCTTCAGGGGCTGCAGGGATCAGGGCACAGGGAGGCAGCGCAGAAAGCTGAATCCATGCCTCCACCCAGACCGGCTCTAACGCTGCAGGTCCAGTTACAGACTCTATCCAAAGGCCCACCGCCGGCGCCCTACTCCTTCCTGCGCCCAGAGCCCCTGCTCACTCGCCCACCTCCAACCGGACATGGCGGGACGGCGTTCCCAGGGACCATGGTGGGGACAGCGCTGCTGCCCGGGCCTGCGGCCTGCTCTCACCTCCAACCCGAGCAGGGGGTGACAGGAGCGCATCTCAGCACCGGATGTGGCAGCTGTGTGCTGACCACTGCTCTTAACAAATGCATGGGGTCGCCGGAGCGCCGAGAGCCTGCCTGGACGCTGTCAGTCTGCGCCCAGGGTCTGGCCAGAGCCGACCATGACTCAATACCGTTTCCCGAGAAACCGGCCCCGAGAGGAGCTGCTCAGACCCCGAGGCGGCGGGGGCGACCGGCCTGTGCCTGGCTTCCATGCGCGCCGCCCGCAGCCGCACATCTGCCCTCCCTGCTGCCGCTGTTACTCGCTGGAAACCTGCGTCCCTCTAAAGCAGTGGTTCTCAACCTGTGGGTCGCGACCCCTTTGGCGGTCGAATGACCCTTTCACAGGGGTCGCCTAAGACCATCCTGCATATCAGATATTTACATTACGATTCAACAGTAGCGACATTACAGTTATGAAGTAGCAACGAAAATAATTTTATGGTTGGGTCACAACATGAGGAACTGTATTTAAAGGGCCAGAAGGTTGAGAACCACTGCTCTAGGGTTTCCACCAAGCGTGTGCCCCAGCTTTCTCCTGCTGTGAGCTTTCTCCTTGCTCAACTCCACCCTCTCGGCCTCAGTCCTGCTCAGACGTGACCTCCCTGACCTTCCTCAGGGCCTCTGTCCTTAAGCCCTTCTCCTGTCATCTACCCTCAAGGACACGCCCCTCACACGCCTGACTCTCCCAGGTGCCAGGACCTGGCTTCCCCAGCCACAGGGCCCCGCTGCCACTGCAGCTCCCGGTGGAAACCTCCCCACCCCGCCCCATCCCCGGTGGGGAGGGAAGCCCAAAACCGCTGGCCAGTGGGTGGGAAGGGCCTGCAGGCCCAACAGCTGGACTGGGGATCAGAGACGCTGTGGGAAGCACCCACCGCATGCTGCCCAGCGTGGGCTCTGCTGTGCCCTGGCTGAACCACCTGGCTCAGAGCTGGCAACACTGTTCTCACCAAGGCGGGAGGAGGGAAGGAGGGCCAGCTGGGAGCAAGAACACAGCACTGAGCACTCCCCCGGGCCAGGCGGGCAGGGCTTGGCCCAGCTCCCTCCGGGAAATCCCATTCCGAACCGATCTGATCAGCTACAGGCCCACGCCCGCGGCCAGGCTGGCCTGGGGCCTGCATGACATGTGGAGACAACCGGGTGAGCAAGCACAGCTGGGGCCGCCTCCTGCCCAGCCCCTCCATCAAAAGCCTGGGGAGGCTCCTTCCTTCAGCAGGTGTGCATGGAGCTCTGGGGACACAGACCCCAACCTCCACCCCCAACCTATCCGGGGGTGTCCCCCAGAAAGGGGATTTCTAGGGCCCACTGCTCTGCGCAGGCGCCAGCGGGGTGGAAGCGGGGCTTTCCTCCAGAGCAAGGCGAGGCGGAGGCGGCCCTTTACCTTCTCACACTCAGCTCGTGCTCGGTCCTCTGCCGGCACAGCTCCGCCCGCAGCTCCGCCACCAGGCCCTGGAGAGCCGTGGAGTGGGGCGTGGGGTCCCGGGCGGGGCTGCCGGGCTCGCTGGGCTCACTGCTGCTGAGGCGGACGGCTGCCTCCTCCAGGCTGCGCCCCGGGTTCGGGGACCTGAGCTCCTCGCTGCTGCTGGGGACGGAGGAGGGCTCGGGGGTGCCCTCGGGGTGCAGGGAGCTGCAGGCAGAGTCGCTGGCCCGGCAGGCGGTGCAGCTGCTGACGGAGCCCCCCGGGGAGGCCTCGCAGGAGGAGGCCCCCGACCAGGCCGAGCTGGACACGCTGGGCGCGCTGGGGCCGGGGCTGGGCGCCGGCACATTGTCGTAGGTGGAGAGTCTCTGCGAGGCGCTGTCCTTGAGCCGGTCGCCCGAGGAGGCCCGGCGGCGGCCACGCAGGGAGGACAGCCCATTCATGAGCCAGTTCCCGCCGGAGGAGACGGTGGGCACCTCCGGGGACGA